ATTAAAGCTGTAGAAATTGTACACGAAAAGAAGTCACATATTTCTACTGCAAAAAAGAAGCCAGCATTTTTGATGCTACAATCCAGGTAGATCTCTGTTTTCTGCCTATGTCAAAACTGAAGTGGGAAGGCGACTTGTCGTTAATTCTGCGTGTTATAAATTTCTCGTGCTTTTCTTCACAATGATTTCGTGGAGCTAGCTAGACAAGATGCAGGTGAACATTCAAGGAGTCGAACGCGATCTTTGGCGAATTGAACAAATTGACTCAAGGCTGTATAATAACGAAGATACCCAGTGTGTAATACAGGAACTAGGAAATAAGTTCACGAACGAACAACATCAACTTGGGAGTTCATCCATGTTAATTATTACAAACTGTACAACATCCTAAAAGTGGAATGAAGAAGTTAAAAGTTTTGGAAGCATTACAATATAATGGCGTAAACATGAAAGTGATCAGCACTAAGAGAACTACAGTCAAGATGGGTTTAGTACATTAAAACACGCCTGTAGTTTGACTTCCATTTTGGGGTTCATGAATTATTAATGAGTTTGAAAACTTGGGCAAGCGGGGAAGTGGCCTGGGCAAGCAAAATTTGAGAGTTATTTGCCCAACGGGCAAGGTGGAATTCAAATATTTTTCGAGCCCTGTTATGGAAGATTGACTTGTTTTACTTATCTGATTAAAGTTTTGTCTATCATCAGGAGATTCCCAAGATGAGGAAGAAGAGGCTAAACCATTAACTGTAAGTGCAAGAATTATACTATACTGTTAAGTGATCTGTCTCCCTGTTTTGGTTATTGGGAAATCATCCATTTCCAGCATTATGAAGGACCTATATTTAACAGAGACAAGGTCAATGTTTGTTCTTTTTTGGGGGGGAGGGGGGTGATTTGAGAGAGTGGAATGACATGAAGGACAAGTGGTATTCCAGAAAATACTTTTATGACCTGTAAATAATAATGAGTACACTAAGAACTGAAAAGGTATGTGAAGTTAACTGAGAAAGAAAAGAGTAACTGAGCATTTTAGTGTCACAGTGACAAATCACCAACTCATTCCTATCAGTTTTATCATGTATGCAAAGTTATTTGTTTGAACTCAATGTTTATCCATGAAAATCTTGTGTAGTGACTGGCTTAAGTTTGAAGTTTTTTTGGAATAAGGGATCTTTGCAGTTTTACAGCACTTAAAATTTATTCTAAATGTTGACTTACATGGGCAAAATACAGA